TATGTTCAAACCCAGCCCGAGCCAAAAAAAAAAAAGGAAAAAAAAAAAAATGGGGATTTTGCAGCATTTGTACTAACCTGTATGGAGGTGGAACACATTATCCTTAATGAAGCATCACAGGAATGGAGAAGTATGGATCCTATGTATTCAAACTTTGATATGAGGACAATTAATGACAATCAATGACATGGTGGGGCATGGGGGATGGGAAGAGCAGACAGAGAAAGAGGGAGGGGGTGAGGGTAAGGACAAGAAAAAAAATAGTGACTAATTCTTACATAAATTGGATTCGATTTTGATTAAAGTATATTACTTAAACATTAATTTTTACTTCAACTTGTTAATATGTTGTTTAGGATACAGGATACTGCATCCTCATTTAAAAGTGAATTATGTTTGTAATTTCCCTATATATTTTTTTCAATTTTAATATCAGGTGTATCCAGATTAAGCAGAATGATTTTGAAGTATTTCTTCTCTTTCTATTGTCTATAAGATTTGGCATGATTTGTTTTTTGAAATTATCTTTTATTTATAAATATCAGTTGTTTATTTTTTGAGAATTTGGAAAAAAAAATAAGTTAATTGATGACTCTCTACTGAACCCCAGAGTCAAAGCATTCTATAATAGACATACTCTTATTTGACAATGCGAATGTTACCTTCTTCGCATTATTATTATTATTGCTTAATACTTTGTCTCAGCAATCGTCTGATTTCTTTTATGAATGTATTTATCTTTATTCATTATTTACTGAGGTTTTTGTTTCTCGGCCTTATCTTAAACATTGTTATTGTTATTAAATTTTAAGCCTTTTTGATTTTGTGAAGGCAATAAATGGAAACCTAGTAAACACATATAAATGTAAAAATAAAAAAATAAAGAAAAGAATTTAATATGATCCTAGAAATAGGTAAGACACTTAGGGAAGGGAGGTAGGATTAGTTGCCACCTGGAACTGGACTCACTGAGCTTATTCCTCCTTTCTTCAGAGGAGTCAAAGTTGGGGGCTGGGCAACCCTAGAGGGATTTTCCTGGGGTCATAACTTGTTCTCCACATACCTTTACTTATATTCTTAGCTCATTTTGTCTTTTTAAAAGACAAAGGCCTTTTAAGAAAACTATATTTTAACAATACAGTATATACTTTTTTAACCAGAGATAAGATCGGACAGTATGTTCTGTTTTATAGTCACCATAATCGTAATATTAAGCACTTTCCCATGCTTTTAAAATCTCTTGGTAAAAAAATTTGTATACTACTCTGCTAACTGTAGATTTGTAATTGCAATGTGTATTTAATTTTTAACCATTTTTCACTATCATAAGCAGTGCTCTGATAGATTTCTTTTTTTCTATAAAGTTTTTATGTATTTCTCATTTTTTTTCCTAAGACTAAATTCCTGGATGTGGAATTACTGAGTGAAAGAATAGTTATAAAATTCTTGATACATATTACAGAATTGCTTTTCAGTAGGGTTTTAGCATTGCACATTTTCACGAGCATTCTATGAGAATGCCATTTTGGGAGGGGAGGTTAAAAGGGGTATCTATCTATCCACTTTAACCTGCATTTATCGCATTTTTTAAAAATTTCAGATTAATATGAGGGTACAAATGATTAGGTTACATTGTTTGCATTTGTTAGGTAAAGTACCCATTGTAGTTGTGTCCCCCACCCAGGAGGTGTGCCACATACCCTTCTATTATGCCCATTGGGTGGGAGCACTCCAATCCCCTTCCTCTTCCCAACTCTCCCCTCCCCAAACCAAACATGTAAAAGCATTACTACCTTATTAATAACAAATCCATTATCAATGGAACAGAACTATTTGGAGAGCTTGACATGATTCCACTGGAATTTGGGAAAGGGATTAAGATCTGATTTAGAAGAGTAAATACTACTTTGGCCTCCTTAGTGGGACGGCAAGGAAAGATGGTGGTAGACACAGATTATCCCACTGGAGGAATAAGGAAACAGTTTGTTGTGATGCACACAGATCTCATAGAAAGGCAGTGGACAGGGGTGGGTTTTAAAGGGACCCTTCCCCAGAGGCCCAACAGAAGAGTAGAAGTGATCTCAATAAAAGCGTAATTCCCTACAAAGCACAGACCCTGACTCCGAAACTGCATGTGGCATGCTGGAAGAGGCATCTGAAGGAACCCTCAAGTGAAGTGCAGAAGGGAGAAACGTAGCGATGAGCAGTTTGCCAAAAATCCACCAAAGCCACTCAAGACAGAGCCAATGCTGGGTATGCAACAAACACAGCACCCAGTGGCCTGATCACGAAGCAACCACTATTTAAGACTAGAACTTGGGCTCGGCACCTGTAGCTCAGCGGCTAGGGTGCCAGCCACATACACTGGAGCTGGAGGGTTCGAACCCACCCTAGGCCTCCCAAATAACGACAACTAGAACAAAACAATAGCTGGGCATTGTGGCGGGTGCCTGTAGTCCCAGCTACTTGGGAGGCTGAGTCAAGAGAATCACTTAAGCCCAAGAGTTGGAGGTTGCTGTGAGCTGCGATGCCACAGCACTCTACCGAGGGTGACAGTGTGAGACTCTTGTCTCAAAAAAAAAAAAAAAAAAAAGAAGACTATATACCTGTTCTCCCTAACTATTTCTACCATCTCAAGGAGCCACAAGTAGCTATTGCTAGTGAATAGGGGAAAAGGTGGCATGGTTGAAAAGACAACCATATCCCCTTCCCCATAGTAGCAGCTCCTGAGCCCTTGATGGATAAGAACAGACACTCCCAATTAGAAGAAAGCTTATAGTTTTAAGAAATAGACTGGGCTAAACTGAATAATATCAGATAGTGAATAGAAAACCTACAACCTGGTTAAAATTTCATCCCAGGGTGCAAGGTAGGGAACAATCCACAGAGTAATTTTTTATTTTTTTATTTTTTTGGAGAGACAGAGTTTCACTTTATCGCCCATAGTACAGTGCTGTGGCATCACACAGCTCACAGCAACCTCCCACTCCTGGGCTTAGGCAACTCTCTTGCATCAGCCTCCCGAATAGCTGGGACTAAAGGTGCCTACCACAATACCTGGCTATTTTTTTGTTACAGTTTGGCCGGGGCCGGGTTTGAACCCGCTACCCTCAGTATACGGGGCTGGTGCCCTGTCCACTGAGCCACAGGCACCGCCCTTCCACAGAGTAATTTTACTTGGAAAGAATAAGGCTATTTTCTGTTCCTCTCATAGAAAGTTCAGCTTGTTTAATAAGAAGATAGAGTAAGATTCTATTTAACACACTTAGCAGTCTCTGACACACTAAATATACAATCAATATTTTATTGATCTTTATGACTAAGACATAGTAATGAAGTATCTTTATTTTCTACTTCTATTTTATTTATCTTTTATTGTTTTTGATACAGGGTGTCAGTATGTTGCCTAGGCTGGTCTTGAACTCCTAGCCTCAAGTGATCTTCCTGCTTTGGCCTCTCAAAGTGCTTTTTGGGATTACAGGCATGAGCCACCTTATTTGTTCTTATTTTCTACTTTTAGAAGTAATGGGAAAATAATAGGGTGATAGCTAACCTTGACCAAAAAAAAAAAAAATTAATTGTATAACAATTTGGCATTACTAAAACCATGTTTTTTGTAAGGCCATACTTTCTTTATATGTTTATATGAAGTACAAATGTAAAGAAAATATGTTTCTAGTACTGGCACACAATATTAACCTACACTGGCATCTTTTGAGTACAGTCTGACTTAGGGGTTTTTAATTATCACTGCATCCTAGAATTGCTTATGGAGTTTTCTTGTTTGGGATTTTTTTTTTGAGATAGAGTTTTACTATGTCACCCTTGGTAGAGTGCCGTGCCATCACATCTCACAGCACCCTCAAAGTCTTGGGCTTAAGTGATTCTCTTGCCTCAGCCTCTCAAGTAGCTGGGACTACAGGTGCCCGCCACTAAGCTCGGCTATTTTTTTTTGCAGGGGCTGGGTTTGAACCTGCCACCTCCAATATATGGGGCTGGTGTCCCACTCCTTTGAGCGACAGGTGCCGCCCAGCTCGGCTATTTTTTGTTGTTGTAGTTGTCATTGTTGTTTAGCAGGCTCAGGCTGGGTTTGAACCTGTGAGCCCAGGTGCAGGTGGCTGCTATCCTAACTGCTGAGCTATAGGCACTAAGCCTTGGTTTTTTTTTTTTGAGACAGAGTCTCAAGCTGTCACCCTGGGGAGAGTGCTGTGGCATCACAGTTCACAGCAATCTCCAACTCAGGCTCAAGCAATCCTCTTGCTTCAGTTTTTCTATTTTAGTAGAGATGGGGGTCTTGCTTTTGCTGAGGCTGGTCTTGAACTCGTGAGCTCAAGCAATCTACCACCTCAGCTTCCCAGAGTGCTAGGATTACAGGTGTGAGCCACCTTGCTCGGTGCATATGGCGTTTTAAAAAAGAACTTATTCCTATATCTGAAGCAAGACCTAATAGATGGGTCTGGAAACCAGACATGAATATTTTGAAAAAGCTCCTCAGATGATTTAGTTGTGAAATGACAATTGAGAATCAATCATTAGTCTATGTCAAGAACTTAGCTCTTTGTCAAACTCTTAGCCTAGTAAATCAAACATTTACTGAGTACTCCCTCTATGTCAGACTCAGTATCAGATATGGGGTTAGCTCTAACCTGAGAATGCTCTTCAAGTGTATGAATTATTTAAATGTGGCCATTCTCTACTTAGATACCAAGAGAAATGTAACAAAGACTTATTGCAGGGCAGGGCAAGGTGTCTCAAGTCTGTAATCCTAGCACTCTGGAAGGCCAAAGCATATGGATTGCTTGAGCTCAGGAGTTGAAGACCAGCTGGAGCAAGGGTGAGACCCCATCTCTACTAGAAATGAAAAACTGGGGCAAGAGGATAGCTTGAGCCCAAGAGTTTGAGGTTGCTGTGAGTTATGATGCCATAGCACTCTACCAAGGGTGACAAACTGAGACTCTGTCTCAAAAAAAAAAAAAAAATGACCCATTATAAAGACTTACTTGCACAATACCATGGCATACAAGGACTCGCCCACGTGAATCAGCCAGGCAAGCCAATACCTGAAACAAACAAACAAAAAAGACACTCTTAAGTCTAAGGTGATAGTTATCTGTTGATGAAATCTAACCCTGAACCTTGAAAAGAAAGGTGCCTTAATGTGAACTACCACTACTCTTAGATATCTAAAGGGAATGGCAGGCCTTTGAGGTCTCTAGTGATATCTGAGCTGCAGTGTCTACATCCCGTTTCTGCAGCTCTTCTTACCCGGTTCGCAGGAGGGTGTGATGGTTGTCTACCAAGTACTGAGTAAAGGTACCCAGGGGCCCGAGGCTCTGATACGGGATACTCTGAGGCCAGAAGACAACCCACTGAAAGAGAACCAGAGGGAGAAAACTATTAGGTCACTTAAAATGTTTATTTTTGAGAGAGGCTATGAAGTAATACTGATTCTACAAAAACAACTATAAACCAAAGAAACTCTAAACAGTCATCTGGGCTTCCATTTTTGACTCCTATTTTCTAGGAATCACTCTACTGAGAAATTTACACTGAGGGAACTATGTGGTTATCAGACCTGGTGCTATTTTTATAAATTCCACCAAAAACCTTACTTTATGGAAGTTATTGGCGAATTTTAGGAGTTGATGGGCCTTGACTAGCTTCTTTACTGTATAAACTATGACTTGAGCCAAATCCTTATTTAATTTAGAATTCCTTTCTCATCTTTCACTTTTTGTATCTCTAAAACCGGTAATGATCCACTGAACAGAAATGGAAATAAGTGAGATCAGCTTTGTGAAGTTTTAACAGCAACTGCTTAATCAGTAAGGTTTCTGTAATATTTTTCTCAGTCTCCGTATCGTAACCTCCACCAGTTTAGCCTTTTTTTAAAGAATAACTGCCAACAGGTCCAAAATTTATTGTCCCATTCAGATCTCTGTCAAGAACAGTACTACCTCTCCGACGATGTTGTTTTCCATCTGAAATTCAAATGAAGCACAAAATATCACTGCCATCCTCCCAGAACAAGAGGAATAGCTCCACAATATCCCGATTTGAAGTACCCAAAGCCTTCCTCCATCTATATCCTAACTAGAGACATAGAATTATAGAATAGAGACGCACATTTGAAAAATTTCAGTCCAGTCACCATTTTATATATGACGAAATCAGGACAGAGGTGGTCATATCTGACACCAACCAACACTGTGGGTATGACAAATCCCCAATCTCCAGCTCTTAGGCAATATCCACATAGCTTTGCCTTCTTTCAAAATTATACCAGCTTAGCCCCCAACCTACTTTTGACGCTTCTGTCCTGTTGTCCTTTAAACAAACTTTCTCAGCCCGACAAAAGTCGGTCTTTCACTCAGTAAAGCTGTCTTCTTGTTTCCACGCCTATGCCGTAACAGATAGATATCTTCTCTGTCCTTCCTTACCAATAAAACCCTACACATCCTTTAGGTTTACCCCCGTTTTTCAACTGCCTCAAACACTGTCCTTCGATAGCCCATCCTGACTTAGCAGGCCTATTTTGTCTGCCAACTTGATTTCTGCTCTGTGAGAGGCTGACTCGGTTAAGCCGTCAGTAACCGTGTTGGGACCGGGGTGCAAAGGCAGTAACAATTTAAAGCAGAAACCATCCTAAGCGCCCACCAAACTTCCGCTTACACCGGTAACTTAGGCAACCGTCGGGAGCGCGTGCGCACAAACCTCCCACCACTGCGCCCCTTGTCCCCTCCGCCAGCTTGCAGTGCCCAAACAGACGCCCCGCCCACGCGGCGCCTCACCGCGCAGTATCCCAGCCCCAGCACCGTGACCAGCGAGGGCAGGGGTCTGGCTGTACGGAAGTAGGCAGTAGCAGCCTTGCGGGCCTCCGACTTCGCCACCACCATCTTGAAAGATCTACATCCTGAGTCACTTGGGGAACCGTCCCTCCCCCCACATAACAAAAGCCTGATTAGCCGGTTTCTCGGAGCTTGGAACGCCAGCCGAAGGCTCTAGCAGACGATTGCGCCTGCGTGTCCTTCCACGGCTCAGTCCCCTCCTCCGGGGCTCCAAGCGCGCCGGAGCTGGCGTTGGGTCTGCGCAAGCTCCTAGCCTGGGGGTGCAGGTGATCCGATGAGTGGAGCAGTCGCTCCTCTTGCTGGACCGTTAATACCCTTACTGTGTAGTAGCCAAAGGCGAGGAAGATGACTGCGAACCAGGTTAGAGAGCCCTTCTGGAAGTAGGCCGCCCCGCCTGCCGCCGATGCCATGGCCGCAGGACTTCTTCGGGAATGCGTGGCTGGGCGCGGGAGGCAAGGCCGGGGCGGGGCCTCGACGAGCGCTCCTCCGCCTCCCCTCCCAGCCTCCGCGTATGCACCGCCCCCAGTTTTCCTTCCGGCCCATCCCCTAGGTTCCCCGCTGTCAGGGGCTGGAGGAGGTCGTGCGAAAACTGCAACAACTAGTCTTCCCCTTTAGTCCTGCCCCGGTAGAGGGGCCTTGGAATCCTGAACACAGGGATTCTGGTGAGCTAGTCATCATCTTGTAGACTAGTGTCATTTGTCTGGTTTTGAAATAAAGATGTTGAAATAGATGGCGTTTTACTGCCAAGACTACTTTTTGATAAGGTGACCAGATTTTAACATTGGTAAAGCGGGACACCATCGACCGGGCCGGGCGGGGGCGGGGCAGGGCGGGGCGGGGCCTGACAACAATGCAAACTTTGATAAGCAGTTCTCGATAATCACTTCTCAACAATTATTTGTTATTATTACAGCTTAACATTATAAAATTAACAAAAATAATATAAAACTCATATCCTGGCGAAATAGCCACATGGCAGCCGAAAACCGTATATTCCCTTACTGTTCTGCCGGTTCGTGCATTCTTTCCAAAAATCGGGGGCCAGGACAAATTAGTAAAAATCGCCAAAAGCGGGACTGTCTGGTCCCCCTACTTTTTGAACGTTGTGCACGTTGAGTAATAACACTTTGTTGGTTAACATGTATGGGCCATAAAAGCGCGGTGCTCATGATGGGATTGTGTGTGGAACCCTCTGCCTGAGTTGAACTCTGCCTCTACTGTTCACGTAAGCTTAGACTAGTTACTTGGCCTGTCTGTGTCCTGGTTTTCCTATCCGTTAAGAGGGAATTTTATGCATATTAGTTCCTGGAACCTCTGAGCTTTTGGAGTGGATTAAATCTGCTGTCTTGAAGAAAACCCTATAGTATCTGGCCCACAGTGCTTTATAAGTGATATACATATATATATATACACACATTTATT